TTAGCAGAGTGATGGCTCTCAAACTGCGTGGCAGGAGGTGGGTGGGTGGCTGCAGGGGAAGTTTATTTGGTTCAGCTTTGCAGACACCCAGCTACAGTTTTAGAGTTGGTTTCACAATTGTGTGGCACTTTCCGGAGCCACAGTCTGCCAAGTCACACATCGAGTTGGTTTCTGTGTTCTTCCAGAGTATAGGCCTGTTCATTTCTCTGAAGCCCAGACATGAAGGTGAAGGCATAGGAAAAGAATGAACAGTGCTATTAATAATCTGATTTGACATGGGATCCTATAGATACCAAAACCATGGGGTAAGACTGACTAAACATTTTCAAAAGATGTTACTGGGAAGGTTTAATTATTTTATTTTTTAAAAAGTACTTCCATTTCCTTTCATTTATTTCCCACCAGTCTTGAAACAGCGTCTCATTGTGTTGTTCAGACTGGTCTTGAACTCATTATGTAGCTCAGGCTAGCCTCAAACTTGCAGCAGTCCTGCCTCAGTCTCACCAGTGCTGGGGTTATAGTCATGTGCTACTGTGCCTGGTTATTTTTGAGACAAGTCTTGCTGTGTAGTTCAGGCTGAGCTGGAACTCATGACAGTCTTCCTACCTCAGCCTCCCAAGTGCTGGGACTATAGAGGTGTACCATCATGCCTGTCAAGCTTATTTGAATCAGGTAATATTTACAATTCAGCCAGGCATGATGATGCACACCTGTAATTCCAGGACTCAGGAGGCTGAGGCAGAAGAATTGTTCTGAGTTCAAAGCCATCCTGGGCTACAAATTAAGTTCAAACCAGCCTGAACTGCACAGAGAAACCCTGTTTCAGAAAGACAAAACAAAACATAATATTTACAATTCAGCAGCTATATTACAAGACTAATAGCCTATATATTGCATGACAAAACATATTTTACAAAAAAAATTTTTAATAGTGATGGTGAGAAAAACTGAACTCTTTTTAAGGGTAATTATTGGTTATATTTGTAGGATAGTAGATTTTTTTAACTAGTTTTTGAGGTCCTATGACTTTTTCTATTTTATTATTATTATGTGTTTGGTACAGGGTCTTACAATGCAGCTTGGACTGTAGTGATCATCCTGTTTCAGGATGACAACAGCTGCCAGCAGCTCTTAGTCTGCTGAGCTATCTCACCAGCCCTCTATGACTTTAGAAATACCAAAAATATATAAAGTAATTGAAGACTCAAACTTGTGGTATTATTTTATGTTCTCCCTTACAAAAGGTAAGATAGTACATAGGATACACAAAATAACTTCAAGTGTCATTTTCTGTTAACTTCTAAGAAAAGTTTCTATTGATTTCTCTTGGCTCTTTTAATTCTCATAGCTTTT